AATTGCAAAAAGAAATTCTTTTTCTGCAAGCTTTCAGGTTCACACACCTTTCATCAGGCTCAAGGAAAGTTAAAGATGGTAAAAACTCTCTATATGTAGGAAATAAACTTCATTTTTGCACAGAGGAGGAGAAACTAGATATCTGTTCCTCTGGGTCCATGAGAGTGTCTCTGTGGGGTTGCTCTTTGTTGTGCAGATCAAGCAGGATTCCTTCCCTGTTGGTGTCAGATGGCAGGCAGGGAGGTGTAGAAATCTTTCTTATTGTTCAGCAATGATGTTTATAATCCAAAATCGGCTAAAATTTACCATCTTCCATGTTTCAGGGATGTCTTTGGTAGCCATGTTGGTCTGCATTTCTTTTTGTCTCAGACCAACACAGCTACCAAACAGAACCCTATTATTGTGTATTACAGATATTATAATGGTGTTTGTTTAGAGTCTATTTTTTAAAATATTTATTAATTATTTAATAAGATGCTATTATGATAAGGTGTTGCTGATCCTCTAACACTGCATGCCTAGTGAATGGGAAAAAGACCAGAAGAAGAAAACCTTTTTTGGAAAATGGGAAATTTTGCCCCTCATATCTTATCTTCTTTATTTTCTTTAAATAATGTCACCATATGTACTTTACTCTAAATACCACTCTTCTATAATGTTCTAGCTACTATTTATGCATTTTATTTTAATTTCCTACCTGACAGAAGAACACAATACATTTATTTTTCTTTTATTTCTATTGTTTAGTGTAAAAATATCAAGCCTGTTTGACAGAGCAAGTATGTGTGTGTCCCCTTTGTAAAGCTCAAGGAACTGGAGATAAAATAGCTTCTTGTGTCTTAAGGGATGATTTATTTCTGAAATGGCTAAATAGTTTAAAACTATTTAGTGGTGCATTAGCATGGGTTGATCGCTTGCTTGCTTTCTTGCCTTACAATGCCTTACATAAAAGAGTTTTTACTAAAGGGATCGTTTCAGTATACAAACGGGTTAATTATGCAAAATGCATTTTTTAAGAGATGGTATCTGTAAGTAAACTCTGCAAAAAGGCTAGATCATTCCCTTCAGTTTGATACCTCTTAAACTTTGGAAGGACAGGAATTATTTAAAACAAAAAAACCCCAAATAAACAAAAAGCACTTTATATACTACAGCAATGTGTATCAAACGTACCTATCCTGTTTCTGTTCTTTAAACTTTTAACACACTTCACCAGGCAAAAATCTCCTCAGATCCATGGCCACATGGTTTGAGTAATCACTTATGTTTAGTAACCATAATATCTGGCCAGTAAAGCAGTCTCTTCCGAACCACCATGTGGTATATCACACTTGATTCTCAGTTTAAAGGAAAGTAGGGAAGACTATGTATTGTAAAGGAAAAGGGAAGCCTATTTCACATTATCAATTAGCCTATTTACATGAATTATTCATTCACTTCATTCTACCATTTCAGAGTAATATCACTGTTGTTCTTTTGTGCTTCCTTTTTCCTTGCTGCCTGCCACAGATCAGATTACCTTACTTCAATACTTTGCTATCTTCCAAGGGGAACTATGCCTCTAAAACATTTATTTTGTTTGCTAATAAACCATCCATGCAGACACTTTTGAACTGTAATGGCACTAGGAAAATCAAAACAATTCCAAAGCCTTCAATAAAATTGAAAGGCTAAGACAAACATTAAGAGCTAAGGGGGGTTGCCTACTGCATAAAAGATTGTGTTATTAGAACAAAGCAAAAATGCCTCAAGTTCCGAAGCTGAGAGTTTGAGACCTGAATTAGATTTGATGAAGCAGTCGAGTTTTGCTACCGTAATTGTCATTGTTACTCAACTCAAAATGTCTGTAATGAGGTAATGCAATATACGAAAGTAACCACAAACTTAGGGCCAAATCCTATGCCATGGGGCATTTAACCATTCACGTCCCTGAAAAGCTGTTACCATGCCTACTTTTGTAACATGTCATCTCCATAGCTGTATGATGGAGAAACCAAAAGTGGAGAGGAGGAAAGAGAGCCCTATCACCTTGTTGGGTTGGGTTGGGTTGTTTTTTCAGGGTCTCAAACAGAGTGGAATAGGATTGTTCCTAAATACCACTTAGAAACCCAATAGGTGGACCAGGATCTGACCCTTACAACAGAATACTATACTGTCCTTGAATAATGCCATTTCTATCAGATTTAAAATTTTAGGTGGTTGGTTGGGATTGATTTGGCAATGCCAAGCTTTCCACCATATCCCAAGTGAATAGAGAGCTCATATCACATCATTATAAATATCCATATATGCATCCATGGTCCAACAATACATTACTTCACCTGAAAATTATTATTTTCAGGATTTGGTAGAAAAATAATGGCCCTATTAATATCCCTTTGAACAGTAGAGCCTAGATTTTCCCAGACTGACTTATATAATTTCGTCTTATAGCAATCTCTTTAAAACATACACAAAGAATTTTATTCATCCTGCCCAAGCCTTGTGGAATGTACAATATTCACCTCTGCATATCTGGATTCAGTGACGATGAAAAGTGCTGAATTGACAAGTCCTGGAGACTACTCCACTATTTTTATCACCAGAAAAGGAGCAAGAAATAGGCAAAAAAGCATTACCTGCTTCTCCATCCATCCCTGACAATACACCTCAGCCCAGTTCCAGAGGATGCCTCCAAGGGACAAGAGAATAATTCCATCTCCAGGCTCATTCAATCTGCAGTTTTTCTGAAGAGTGTCAGCTACGGTGACATTTAGTTCTAATTACAACAATATTTTTTAAGGACACGGAGACATCCGCTTGGAAGTGGTTTATAACATCTTTTTTCACATGCATTAAGTTGCACTGAACAACCAGATGACTTCAACTATCAACCCCTGCCAACGTGGATTTTTCCCATTAACACAATCCTGAACTGTCAAGTCTCTGGATGTCTGGGTTGATGGCCATATCTACACAAATGTTATCCTTTAATGGCTTATCTTACATCACCAGCAGCATTCAACACAGTGGCAGAGAAATGAAGTTACCTATTTTTTTTCTGAATAAAGCAATTTTGTGGGGAAAGGATAACTTTCCTCGGGCCTGCACTGCTCAACATCTTCATCAGTGATTTGGATAAGGGGGTGAAAAGCACCCTGTTCAAATTTGCTGATGACACTAAGATGTGGGGGGACGTGGGCACACCAGAAGGAAGAAGCAGGCTACAATCAGACCTAGACAGGTTACAAGGGTGGGCGGATGAGAATAGGATGGGTTTCAACACAGACAAGTGCAAGGTGATGCACCTAGGGAGAAACAACTGGCACCATACCTACAGGTTAGGGAACTCCCCTCTTGTCAGCACAGAGGCGGAAAAGGATCTTGGAGTCATCACTGACTCCAAGATGAACATGGGTCAGCAGTGTGGGGAGGCAGTTAGGAAGGCCAACCGTACCTTGTCATGCATCCACAGATGCATCTCGAGCAGGTCCAGAGAGGTGATCCTCCCCCTTTA